TGTATCAGGCCAAACCAGGGATGAGAATTTTTTGTGGATCCGCAAATTTTGACTTTTTCCCGCAATAAATGTTTCTGTGAAATGTGTAACCGTGGGCTGACCGTTCTGTCCCCGGGAGCAACTGTGGCAACCAAAACTCACTGAATTAAAGTTGAGGTACCTAAATTTTTGCTTGCATTAACAATGCACAGTAGGGCAAAAAAGTATTTAGTCAGCCACCGATTGTGCAAGTTCTCCCACTTAAAAAAATGACAGGTCTGTAATTTTCATCATAGGTACACTTCAACTGTGAGAGACAGAATGTGAAAAAAAAAAAATCCAGGAATTCACATTGTAAGATTTTTAAAGACATTTTTTTGTAAATTATGGTGGAAAATATGTATTTGGTCACTTCAAACAAGGAAGATCTCTGTCTCTCACAGACCTGTAACTTCTTCTTTAAGAAGCTCTTCTGTCCTCCACTTGTTACCTGTATTAATGGCACCTGTTTGAACTCATCTGTATAAAAGACACCTGTCCACAGCCTCACTCCAAACTCCACTATGGCCAAGACCAAAGAGCTGTCGAAGGACACCAGGAAAAGAATTGCAGACCTTCACCAGTCTGGGAAGAGTGAATCTACAATAGGCAAGCAGCTTGGTGTGAACAAATAAACTGTGGGAGCAATTATCAGAAAAAGGAAGACTGATAATCTCCCTCAATCTGGGGCTCTACGCAAGATCTCATCCCGTGGGGTCAAAATGATCATGAGAACGGTGATCAAAAATCCCAGAACCACATACCACAAAATACCAGCTACTATGTGTGCAAACCTGGTAAAGACCTATAGTAATCGTTTGACCTCTGTTATTGCCACCAAAGGTTATATTACAAAGTATTGAGTTGAATTTTTAATTATTTTCCACCATAATTTACAAATAAATTTGCAAAAAATCCTACGATGTGAATTCCTGGATTTTTTTTTCACATTCTGTCTCTCACGGTTGGAGTGTACCTATGATGAAAATTACAGACCTGTCATTATTTTAAGTGGACAATCGGTGGCTGACTAAATACTTTTTTGCCCCACTGCATGTTATTTGTGCACAAAAGTAAAATGTGAACAAATCAAAAACAGAACTACAACAATCATAGCAAGGATTAGAAATCTAATCCCTGTACGACAGTTTACACAAACTTACAACAGTCATGTTTTTTTATTTTTACTTATTTAACAAAGAGCCCTGTGAGTTTTTTTAAAATATTTTTTTCCACACAGTGCCACTTTATTGCCAAACTCTTGTTGACTTATAGTATTGAGAAACATGTGTCATTCTAACATTGTTTGTTTTATTATCTTTCCATTTGTTTTGAAAACAACAGCTGTCAGCTCTCAAATTCTTTTGGAATAATCTGCAACAGAGGCTGAGATATCAATCATTTTGTATACGTTGAATTTCAAGAAAACTTTGAGGGTAATTCTAAAGTCGGCCATAGGTTTTACAGGTATATATTACCAGGTGTGTCAGGCCTTAATGGGTTAATACGGAAGAAGCAGATTTGAACCTAAGCTTTTACGTACAAATCAGCATCTTCCGTATTAAAGAAGCTATACCCGATTTTTTATTTTTTTGAATGAGTTCATAAAAATGCTTATTACTACTTACAAGTTATTTTACTTTGTAATTTAATTGAAAACTTGAGCTCATTGATTCAGAAAGTGTATGAAGAGACTTGGCGTGATGCCCGCTCTCCTCCAATCACAGAACGAGGAGCGAACAGGCCGTGTCCTCTAGCCTCTACAGCGCTGGTAAACACAGTATTGGCTATAACTCCTCTTGCTGCAACTGCAGACACAGCAAAACAGTCCAAACTACACAACAGCGAAGAAGAGAAGAGGATACTAAAGCAAAAAAATTATCTAAGAAGAAATCAAGCCCGGGTGAGCATAGCTAGCTTACATCGTATCCTCTGGAGACTTGCAGACTATGGGAGAGACCTGCGGGTGCGGGACTGCCTCTGACTACATTTGGACGCAAAACTAGTGGTAATCTTTCAGTTATATATTTTGTTAGCGCCATTTTGTTGAGCTAATGCAATTGTTTGCATATGTATCAGATCGCAAATAAAACTAGATGGCTCCGTGGGATGAGAGCGTAGGGGAAATGAGAGACCTGTGGCGAGTTGAGGGGCGGTGCTAAACATTCAAACGTTGCAGAAACGGGTATAGCTCCTTTAAGGCTAACACTATGATGACTTTTGCCTTTTGTCACTGGTTCTGTTCACTGTCTTTATGGAAAGAATTTCTAGCCACAGCCAGGGGCCGGAGGGGTCCGGTTTGGAGACCACAGGATTTAATCTCTGCTGTTAGAAGACGATGTTGTCCAGTTGGCTCCAAAAACCAGGACCTTCCACTGCAGAGTGACTGGACGCTCCCCTAAGGCGCGTTCAGACCAAAAGCTTCAAAAAGCTTTTGACGCGCTTCAACTGACGCCGGGATAGTTTTGTCATTTTGGTGCTTGAAGCTTTTGACGCAAGTGACGCGCCTGACGCCGGTGGGAGGAGCTTCTCTTTTGCTTGTTGTCAGGACAGCGGTGGATTTTTCAATGAGCAGCGAGCCTTTTTGTTATATAAAGCAAAATAACGTTGTTGTAGGGCTTCAACAAAACATGTTCTGGGTTCACCACAGACTTGAGAGGCTGCAGTGTTTGCAGAGTTCCGTCATTTACTCTAGGAGCTGCGTACGGAGGAGTTTCGCTTTCAGCGGTACTTCCGTATGTCACTCGCCCAGTCTGAGTTCTCAAACCCCGGAGCTCGCCTCTCGCTCTCGCCTCTCGCCCGCCTCTCCCTGCCTCTCGCCCGCCTCTCCCTGCCTCTCGCCCGCCCGGAGCTGCCTTGCTCTGAGCCAGACTCATCGTCAGCCTGTTCTACACAGCATGTGTACAATGATTTTTGTTACTCAGAACGTTACTACTCAAACAAATTAATATTACTAATAACTAGAAATGGTACAATGGCTGAAGCCATTGTGAGTGGCTGCATAGATGTTGGAAGGGTTAGGGATGAAGGAGGAAGAAGATAGAAAAGGGAAGAGGAAAGAAGAAGGAAGAGAAGGAGGAAGAAGAAGAAGGGGAAGAAGAAGGGGAAGAAGAGTAAAAAGAGGAAGAAGGGGAAGAAGAGTAAAAAGAGGAAGAAGGGGAAGAAGAGGAAGAAGAGGAAGAAGAGAAAGAAGGGGAAGAAGAGGAAGAAGTGAAGATGAAGTAAGAAGAATGTGTTGTAAGGGGCTGAAAGTGTTTTAAAGTGCTGAATGTGTTGTAAAGTGCTAAATGTGTTGTAAGGTGTTGAATTTGTTGTAAAGTGCTAAATGTGTTGTAAAGTGCTAAATGTGTTGTAAGGTGTTGAATTAGTTGTAAAGTGCTAAATGTGTTGTAAGGTGTTGACTTTGTTGTAAAGTGCTAAATGTGTTGTAAGGTGTTGACTTTGTTGTAAAGTGCTAAATGTGTTGTAAGGTGTTGAATGTGTTGTAAGGTGCTAAATGTGTTGTAAGGTGTGTAATTTGTTGTAAAGTGCTAAATGTGTTTAATTTGTTGTAAAGTGCTAAATGTGTTGTAAGGTGTTGAATTTGTTGTAAAGTGCTAAATGTGTTGTAAGGTGTTGAATTTGTTGTAAGGTGCTAAATGTGTTGTAAGGTGCTGTAAGTGTTGTAATGTATTGTATCTGTGGTAATGAATTGTTAGTGTGGTAATGTGTTGTATGGGGAGTAATCTGTTGTACTGGTCCAATGTAAGTCTATGGGAAAAAGTGCTTGAACTTTTGTTAATATCTGAAAAAGTGCTAAAGGTGGAAGTGTGAAAAGTAATAGCAATAATGAGACGGTGAAGCCGGTCGTAACGATGTATAATTTGGTGAAAGCGTTGAAGAGTTGAAAAGTGCCAAAATCTAGTAGTAGTAGTAGAAGAAGAAGTAGAAGAAGTAGAAGAAGTAGAAGTAGAAGAAGAAGAAGAAACAGTAGGAGAGCATATAGTGGCTGCATAGTCTATGCAGCCACTCAATAAACAGTAGGATAGCATATAGTGGCTGCATAGTCTATGCAGCCACTCAATAAACAGTAGGATAGCATATAGTGGCTGCATAGTCTATGCAGCCACTCAATAAAACAGCAGCAACAGATACATGACTTCTCTTCATGACAGAGACAGACCGGCAGCTGCTGCTGCTGCTCCTCGTCTCCTGATTGGTTGAAGCCCGCGTCAAAGCTTCAAAAGCTCAGCTTTGCTCAGCTTCCGCGTCAAAGGGATTGTTTTGATACGCAAGCGTTTCGCGCGTCAAAAGCTTCAAGTGAGCGCGTATTACGCGCAACTTTTGAAGCTTTTGAGGCGCGTCAAGTGACGCCGGGGCTCTCTGCTTCAACTGACGCGCTTCACCATTCACTTTCAATGCAAACCTGACGCTTTTGACGCCGAAGTTAAGTCCGGTGTGAACGCCCCTTTAGAGATTGGGTGAGGAGCTCAGTCACGCGGGAGGAGCTCGAAGGCATCTGTTACGCCTGCCTCCCTGGGGAGGCGTTTCGGGCATGTCCAACCAGGGAAGACCCGGGATACACTGGAGGGACGTCTCTCAGCTGACCTTGGGTGCCCACGGGGATGTCTGGGCGTCTCCGCTTAGACCGCCCGCGACTGCCCCCGCGACCCGGGGGCAGCGGGGACGGAGTGCTGATGACGTCAGCACTCTACCAATCCATTGATCGTATATTAGAGTGGACTGACAGAGATTTTGACAACCCACTTAAATGCAGTTTGACTGTGTTAGCATGTGTAGTTAACATTTGACAAAAAAAACAACCTGCACTACTATTGCCACCGTTTCTTTAATTGTACATAATATATCCTGCACAGACTATATTTTTTGCCTGTTTACACACTTTTCTTTTGCACAAATCTTGAGTGATTCTATCCATGCCAGATGTGACATGTACATTTCTCCTGTGTGACATCAATAAAGTCCATCTCATCTTATCTTACCTCCAGTTCTTCATTTTGTTTCTGAAGATCCTCGAGAATCATCTGGAGCTCCTCTTCATCTTCACTCTCGCTCTCACTGTCTGATGAATACTCCTCCGTCTCGCTGCGCCCCTGCTGGCGGCTGGAAAAATAACACCTCCATTTAGAAACGTTTACCTCGTCTTCATACGTATAGTTGCCATCAAATGGGATCTGATGGAAGGAGGAGGAATCTGTAAGTGAACCATTTCATCTATCAGCTGCTTGCCCCTTTTGGCCTCAATAACTTCAACCAGACGCTACCTGTATTTGCTGATCAGTCTGGCGCATCGATCAGGATAGTTTTTGGACTATTCCTCTGACTAACTGCTGCAATTCAGTTAGATTACTGGAATGTCGAGCATAAATCTTTAATTGATGTCACAGCATCTCAAAGAGAAAAGTCTTGATGGTGCTTGAATACCACAATAGTAGAGATGGTCGAATGAAGCCCATGCCCCGGTGATCCAAGATGGCGCCCTAGTCAAATCAATGGCTTGTGCTTAGTCGTGCTGGCATGCAATGAGTTAAAATAGTGTATCAAACTAAATCTTTGGGTATCATCATTGATGAAATGTTAAATTGTAATTTATATATTATATATATATACAATTACAATTGTTAATTAAAGCCGCAAGCGGCGTCGAACGGCCCTCGCCGCACCGCGCAACTCCCTGCACCACGCCGCCGCGCACTAAGCCGCCCCGCACCATGCCGTCCCGCACCACGCCGCCCTGCACCACGCCGCCCCGCACCACGCCGCCCCGCACCAAGCCTCGACGCGCCGCTCCACAACGCCCCGCACTACGCCGCTCCACAACGCCCCGCACTACGCCGCACCACACCGTACTACGCAGCACTGCTCAAAGGAGGTGGCACCGCCGTGTGATGATTTGTTCCCGTAGCCATAGAAGAATGTTAGTCAAATCGTAATGAATATGATAAGTAGAGCTGGTTTGGCTCCCAATGTAAACTTTGACAGAGTCTGTAGGGGGCGCTAATGGGCCAATTTCCAATATTTCACTTTAACCTGACCTAAACCCTGGAGTTGAACAATGGATTAAAGTTTTGTGCAAATTAGACTTTGTTTGTGCAAACAGGAGCAAAATTAATGTTGTCAAAAAGAGCCAAAAAAATACCTCACATTTTGCCGCTCCGCTGCTCAAACAACGTTTCACTGATCAAATTTCCCTGAAGTCATTTTGAAGGTAAACGTGTTGAGATGATTTGGAACAATTTTGAGGCCAATCGGTGAAACGGCCGAGGAGGAGTCGCTTTCCAACCGACGTGTATGAAAATGATTGGTTTTCATTTTTCCATTTTGCAATGAAATTTATGGGCTTCCTGTTTGTCAGAGGGCTTAGCCATAATAACATTTTTTCCATGTCTTGACTTGAGGAACATGTTTTCCAAATTACATGTTTCTACGACAATTTTGACCTCGAACCCCTCCCATAGGCATTTTTAAATTGGCTGTTGTAGGTGGCGCTATAGAGCCAATTTCCAAATTTTAACTTTCAAATGATCTAGACCCACGAGTTGAACCATGGATTCAAGTTTTGTGCCAATCACACTTTGTTTGTGCAAACGGAAACAATTTTTCTATTGTCAAAAACTGAAAAAATATACGCCACTTTTTGGCACTCTGCTGCTCAAACAACGTTTCACTGATCAAAATTCCCTGAAGTCATTTTGATGGTACATAGGTTGAGATGATGTGGAGCGATTTTGAGGCGAATCGGTGAAACGGCCGAGGCTGGTTTGATGTTTGTGTGAGGTGTACATTTGCAATGAACGGGGAGCGTTTCTCGTCGCCACGGCAACAGGGTAAAAAATAAGCCTTGGACCCAATTGACTTTTTGAATCAAGAGGGCAAAACAGATTTATGTGCAAAATTTCAAACATTTTGAAAAAACTAAATTTGAAAATGCCCATCTAAAATTTTGAAATAGTCTGTAGGGGGCGCTAATGTGTCAATTTGAATTAATTCACTTTCAAACGACCTAGACCCAAGAGTTGAACAATGTATTAAAGTTTTGTGCAAATCAGACTTTGTATGTGCAAACAGGAGCAAATTTAATGTTGTCAAAAACGGCCAAAAAAAGGTCACATTTTGCCGCTCCGCTGCTCAAACAATGTTTCACTGATCAAAAATCCCTGAGGTCATTTTGAAGATAAATGTGTTGAGATAATTTGGAGCAATTTTGAGGCCAATCGGTGAAACGCTCGAGGAGAAGTCGCTTTCCAACCGACATGTATGAAAATGATTGGTTTTCATTTTTCCATTTTGCAATGAAATTTATTGGCTTCCTGTTTGTCAGAGGGCTTAGCCATTATAACATTTTTTCCATGTCTTGACTTGAGGAACATGTGTACCGAATTACATGGCTCTATGACTATTTTGACCTCAAACCCCTCCCATAGGCATTTATAAATTGGCTGTTGTAGGTGGCGCTATAGAGCCAATTTCAAAATTTTTACTTTCAAAGGACCTAGACCCAAGAGTTGAACCATGGATTCAAGTTTTGTGCAAATCAGACTTTGTTTGTGCAAACGGAAGCAAATTTTCTATTGTCAAAAACGGAAAAACATTACGCCACTTTTTGGTGCTCTGCTGCTCAAACAACGTTTCACTGATCCAAATTCCCTGAAGTCATTTTGATGGTACATATGTTGAGATAATGTGGAGCAATTTTGAGGCGAATCGGTGAAACGGCAGAGGCTGGTTTGATGTTTGTGTGAGGTGTACATTTGCAATGAATGGGGAGCGTTTCTCGTCGCCACGGCAACAGGGTAAAAAATAAGCCTTGGACCCAATTAACTTTTTGAATCAAGAGGGCAAAACAGATTTATGTGCAAAATTTCAAACATTTTGAAAAAACTAAATTTGAAAATGCCCATCTAAAATTTTGAAATAGTCTGTAGGAGGCGCTAATGTGTCAATTTGAATCATTTTACTTTCAAATGACCTAGACCCAAGAGTTGAACCATGGATTCAAGTTTTGTGCAAATCAGACTTTGTTTGTGCAAACGGAAGCAAATTTTCTATTGTCAAAAACGGAAAAACATTACGCCACTTTTTGGTGCTCTGCTGCTCAAACAACGTTTCACTGATCCAAATTCCCTGAAGTCATTTTGATGGTACATATGTTGAGATAATGTGGAGCAATTTTGAGGCGAATCGGTGAAACGGCAGAGGCTGGTTTGATGTTTGTGTGAGGTGTACATTTGCAATGAATGGGGAGCGTTTCTCGTCGCCACGGCAACAGGGTAAAAAATAAGCCTTGGACCCAATTAACTTTTTGAATCAAGAGGGCAAAACAGATTTATGTGCAAAATTTCAAACATTTTGAAAAAACTAAATTTGAAAATGCCCATCTAAAATTTTGAAATAGTCTGTAGGAGGCGCTAATGTGTCAATTTGAATCATTTTACTTTCAAATGACCTAGACCCTAGAGTTGAACAATGTATTAAAGTTTTGTGCAAATCAGACTTTGTTTGTGCAAACGGGAGCAAATTTAATGTTGTCAAAAACGGCCAAAAAAATGTCACATTTTGCCGCTCCGCTGCTCAAACAATGTTTCACTGATCAAAAATCCCTGAGGTCATTTTGAAGGTACATGTGTTGAGATGATGTGGAGCGATTTGGAGGCGAATCGGTGAAACGGCCGAGGAGGAGTCGCTTTCCAACCGACATGTATGAAAACTTTTGCTGTTCATTTTTCCATTTTGCAGTGAAATTTATGGGCTTCCTGTTTGTCAGGGGGTGGAGCCATAATAATATTTTTTTCTTGTCTTGGCTATAGGAACATGTGTACCGAATTTCATGGCTCTATGACAAACTTGACCTCCGAAAAGTCCCATAGGGGTATTATTTTGGCTGTTGTAGGTGGCGCTGTTCTGTCATTTTTTGAGTCCCATAAAAATAAACACCAAAATATCAAATTTTTCGCCAGGTCTGATTTTTGGGCCAAAATTAACAACTTTTCATGCATGTTCAGGGGGTCAAATTAAGGCTCAAAGTGCAGAAGAAAAAAGAAAGAAAGAAAGAAAGAAAGAAACCCTCGCCGCACCGTGCGACTCCCCGCACCGCGCGCTCCACCCCGTGCCAAGCCACCCCGCACCACGCCGCCCTGCACCACGCTGTCCGGCATCACGCCGCCCCGCACCAAGCCGCAACTCGCCGCAACGTGCCGCTCCACAACGCCCCGCACTACGCCGCACCACACCGTACCACGCAGCACCGCTAAAAGGAGGTGGCACCGCCGTGTGATGATTTGTTCCCATAGCCATAGAAGATTGTTAGTCAAATCGTAATGAATATGATAACTAGAGCTGGTTTGGCTCCCCATGTAAACTTTGACACAGTCTTTAGGGGGCGCTAATGGGCCAATTTAAAATATTTCACTTTCACCTGACCTAAACCCTGGAGTTGAACAATGGATTCAAGTTTTGTGCAAATCAGACTTTGTTTGTGCAAACGGGAGCAAATTTAATGTTGTCAAAAACGGCAAAAAAAAGGTCACATTTTTCCGCTCCGCTGCTCAAACAATGTTTCACTGATCAAAAATCCCTGAGGTCATTTTGAAGGTACATGTGTTGAGATGATGTGGAGCGATTTTGAGGCGAATCGGTGAAACGGTCGAGGAGGAGTCGCTTTCCAAGAGACATGTATGAAAACTTTTGCTGTTCATTTTTCCATTTTGCAGTGAAATTTATGATCTTCCTGTTTGTCAGAGGGATTAGCCATAATAACATTTTTTCCATGTCTTGACTTGAGGAACATGTGTACCAAATTACATGGTTCTACGGCAATTTTGACCTTGAACCCCTCCCATAGGCATTTTTAAATTGGCTGTTGTAGGTGGCGCTATAGAGCCAATTTCAAAATTTGAACTTTCAATTGACCTAGACCCAAGAGTTGAACCATGGATTCAAGTTTTGTGCCAATCACACTTTGTTTGTGCAAACGGAAACAATTTTTCTATTGTCAAAAACTGAAAAAAAAATACGCCACTTTTGGCGCTCTGCTGCTCAAACAACGTTTGACTGATCAAAATTCCCTGAAGTCATTTTGATGGTACATGTGTTGAGATGATGTG